TAAAAATAAACTAAATCAATACTCACTAAGCAAAAACATCGGATGCTCCGGGAACTACCTCAATATATGTGCACCCAAAATCCGAAACATCCGCAAAGTGATTTAAGGATACATCCATGTTCAAGTGCAGCATATAGTGTTTCCTCTGACGATCGTAGATTACGCTGACCAAACTTGGCTCATCTGTGCAGGACTTAAATTTAAGAGGTCTTAGTTCAGGGAACCCCTTTACAAACGAATTGACCCTTGGCATCTTGCACTTCGGACTAAGGACAAAGAACTTGTCGAGGACATTTTTCGCAATCACCTTTTTAGTTTGTTCAGTAATGTTAAAAGTGATGCGTGTTACGGGGTCTATATTGATATGCCATGTTTTATCTATAGGTTTTTCTTTCGAGTGGTCCGACCTGTGGTTCGCCAATATAAAAACCAATAACACGAACACCATGCATAAAAATAATTTTCGAGTATTATATCGAAACATATTTGTATTTTCTGGGAATTTTCAAAATGACTTGCTTGCTAGGTCTATACTCACTTTGTCCTTAAGTTTTGGGATACATTTTAAGATATTACATATGTATATACTTTTTAAACCATATATTCAGATTTAGGCATATGCATTTACAAATTATTTATCTGCTTACAGTTCCAAGGAAGTTTATTTGATATCATAAAAGTGTGCTTCACAGATTTCGGTAATTATTGGCAGGGGTGTTATTTATACAGCGATATTTATACATCGAATATTTCTTGTAATCAAATTTGCACTTCAGTAAATAATAATAACCAAAAATAATAATACTTACCGCAGTCTTTATGCCTCACAAACTTAATAAAGTATACATAAAAGGGCTAGTTAATATAGTAGTCATCAAAAATGTACAACTTTATTAAACTTAAGTCAATACAAACTGAACATCGTTTTCCATCTATGTACATATGTTAACTCTTGTTTTAAATGTTTCGTAATTTTCCACCTGATTCTATCTCCTTCCCATCTCTTATCGCCTTGAAATTGCACATTGAAGTGTTTGGGAAATACTTTGTTAGCGACTGTTCTACCCACCTTGTCTTACTTGTCAGAGGCTGACGGACTTCCGGATCGCTGGTCAATGAAGTTCATTAACTTAAGGGAAACTTCTTGTTCATCTGCTGATAATGGCGCTTCCGTAGTTCTGGGAACAAGTCTTGAAATCAGAAAAGCGCGTAGATGGTTCGTGTTTGTTGCTAACCACATAAGTTATGATATTTTTATCAAGCCTTATGATTTCTAGCTCGTGCCAAAGTAATGCACTACAACGACAAAGTAATATAGTTCAATTATTGCTTATCACCAAAGTACGCCCATTTCGTGGCAAGCGGTGGGTTATATAACAACTTGTATTTCTTGTTTTGGTCAACATTTTCGATGTTTCTTTTCACTATATTAATCATTATTGAAAAATAATTTATTAATATAACACATAAAGGTACATAATTTTACTAAGATTTGTTTAAAACTGAAGTTTCTCTAAGAAATGGTTAGGACTTGAGGTCATTAAAGCAAATGCAATACAATTTGCTGAGCTTGTCATCGATGCAGGTAGAGTCGTCCTTGTACGAGTTTGTTCTGCTGATTTTCTCCACATTCACTTCAGCTTTCTGGGTGGAATTATTATAGACCACGGTGGCCTGGAAATCAGCACTATTTTGATTTACTTTGAACTTGATACGATATACGGCGGTCTCCTGCTCCTTTAGTTCTTCGGAAAAGTTGATATTCAGACCCATTTTGATCTCAGTCTTGTGGATATAGCTCAGCGTCAGATTGCTGCAAAGCTGGCTGAGATTCTTATGAACAAAATACTCGTTCATCCGATCGATCACAGCATGGGCAATGGGCCTTGTCCACCTCAGTCCTGTAATGGGCCTATACGGTTCGCAGGTGCACCAGTGCTCCTCGATGCCCGCCTGCGAGCATGTGCGATCCTCTGGAAGGGGATAAAACAGCGACTGGCAGGTGGGACAATCGAAGGACTTGGGTAGTTTTGGGCCATCTGGGGTACCCCCAATCTCGATGATGTGTTTCAGTGTATTGTGCAGATCAAAATTGGAACATAACCTGTGCTGATTTAGTTTGAGTGCCTTCACGTAAGAGGGATAGGTCTCACGAAACCAGGAAGGCAGATAAATAAACATCATGGGAAGCCGCTCCTCCAGGAATCCATCCTTCAGTTCTGTTAATTTGCCATATCTGGTACCGTGATCGGCAAAGAATATCATAATCATTTCCTCAAAGTCCCCTTCTTCTTCAAATTCGAGCAGATCCCCGAGAACCTTTTCCTGCATGGCCGAAGGCATAAAGGGATCATCGTGACTGAAATGATTCGACCAGAACATTCCCCAAATTGGTCGTTCGTGGACAAAGCGGTGTGTAAACTGTCGGCCGTAGTCGTATATATAACGATTCGCCATCCTACGACCCAGGCAATATTGCATGTAATCGTGCTCCGGCAATCGATACACATCCATCTTGGTCTCCAGAGCACGTAGAATTGGGCGAAAGTAGAAGTCCATGGGCTTTTTGGTGAAGCCGGGCTTTAAGTAGTTGAAATGATTGGAAGAACTCTCGTCCTCTGCATATCCCGTCAAGTAGCTAGCGTTCTTGAAGTACTTCCATATCATCGGCATTTCATCCAAGCAGCCCTTTTTGTTAGTATCACACACCTGTTCCTTGGCCGTATCAGCCGAGTATCCACTAAGTACAGCAAGAATATTGGGAAATGAATTGTCGGCCACCTGGAAGAGGAAAATGACCATATCATGTACATTTCAATTCCTTTTTTTGTTCCGTAGCCTGAGAAATATTTTAAATCACCCCATAAAAATTATATCCCTGCTTAGTTTAGTTTTGGTCTTCAGTAATATCATTAATTTAGCACCTTATTGTATCCCTGCATCTCGTACCACCCAGGTCCTTGTAGGAACTTAAAGACCTTGGGCATGGTGCGTCGTAAATTAATTCGCGAAAGCGAGTCGATGCCGTACATTATGACACTTGGTTTTCTAGTGCCCTTCGGCTTTACAAGGTCCTTGGACAGCGGCCGATATTGAACGAAAACAAAAGCATCTTTTTGGAGGACCACATTTGGGTCCTCAGCCGACTGGCACTCCACGATCATCCCCTCCACATGCTGAGGCACCTCATATCCATCGGTAAAGTACTTTTTCTCCTTCAGACTGCTCGATAAGATAAGTGTGTTTAAAAATCGGCTTGCTATTAGGGGAATCACCTTGTCTTACTTGTCATAGGTATCTGCTTTATTCCCGTATTTGATTTCCCGGTAAAAGCAATTATATTCCGCGTCGGTGAAGTTGAGCATATTCAGAGCGACTTTTTCGTCAATGTGCAAAACATGTCGATTAATATATTTGTTATATGAAGTTGTTATAAGATCGCTCTCATTTGAGCAGGTAACCAATGTTTGCGGCTTGTATATTTTCATCACATCGTCGTTAAAAGGATCCACATAAGGGATCTGGCACTTGGAGGTTTTCAAAAAGTATAGCTGTCGTTTCGGCGTGGTCGCATTTCGCGATAAATCAGTATTCGGAATTCGCTTTAATTGCGTTTCCCATGATATATTTGATCGGTGTAAAAAAATTTATGTTAGCAAAAAGTAAAACAGTCCAAGGAACTTGCAGACCGATTGGTTGGTATTAAATCGCGACTCCATGGTGTGCTCTGGTCAACATAAACGACCCAACTGAACAAAAATTGCTCTTCCCGAAAAAATATCCCATGTGCTCGCATTCGTTATCACGTCTAAGTAAATACACATTCCAAAATGATTTCAGTCTGTATATTCGTTGGCACGGCAAGTCATCTTCATAGAAACATTGTTCTAGGAATTTAAAAAAAGTACGCGTAGTTAGACATCGGAAATTGAAAGTACAACATTTTTTAAGTTTTCGGACTTTTAATAATTAATTAAAAAATCAATTAAAAAAATGTTTGGTCCTTAGTTTTTCTAAAAACAATTTATTCTCATCAAATTAATGTGGCACAGTTTTCGGCCATTCAAGTAAGCATGAAATGTTTATCATACTGATCTGAAACGGGTTGCACTTTTTATAGCTTAATAAATTACAAACGGAAATGTTTATTACAAAAAGTGCTATAGATCAAAAGTTGAGGAATGGTTATATAGTTTGAAGTTAAACCAATTTAGCAACGTATAGCGCGTTTCTGCAGCAAGAGTTGTTAAGAAACTATGTATAAATACGTTAGGTAGTTTTGGATTTTTCGCTAAACTAGCGGGATTCGGCTTCCTAATACACCCATAAAGTCGCCAAGACCCTAAAACCAAACCTATTTATATGTAGTAGTCGCCTTCGCACACTGTCATGGTGCGCTTCGTCACTACGTGGATTGCCGCCCACAGTGAGAGCCGAAGAATCTAATATACCCTTTGCTCTACGAATAACGGGTATAAAATTGTGGGCGCCACCAAGCGGAGCATTCATTCATGCATTCACTGCACATAAATACCACTATGTGGATGGTGAACTAGCTAAATGCGAAGGAGACCTCGCTAAATGAGGGCTAGAAACTGAAACGCAAGCGGTGAAGCTTAACAGGGTTGTTATAGATGGCGAAAGCGCTGACAACTGTTGGGCCAAACAAGTTTTGATAGTTGAAAAATATCGATAGCATACCAACGTATTCAGTTACCGCTTGAAATAGTTTTGCGAAAGATATAACATATGTTTTCCACCGGACGCTAACATTGATCTTATTCACGTCATACAAAATGAGAAGGAGTTCGCTATTAATCCGTCAATTGTTATCTTCTCTTCCTCTTCAATTCCAGCAGAAGAAGCGGGTGTTTTGAAAACATCGATAACATCGATACGTATCGATTTTGTAAGGAAATACCACGATATAAATATTTATTTTTAATCAAAAAATATCGATATACTGATATTTTGATATATTTTTCACATACTATCTCACACGAAATTCGGAATCCAACTGCTCGAGTCGCTGGGCTCCCTGTCCCCACTCGAAGTATCCAAGAAATACATAAACCGCCGGGAAAAATACAAACTGTGTTGGTTTGGAGTGAAAAATTAGTGCAATTATAATGTAATTTCTTTTAATTTCTCTGTTGAAAGCTTTTTATTCGGGGCGCTAACGCGTTTTTCCGTTTTTCGTTACGATATTTGAATCAAAGCAAAGTGCAAAAGCTCGCGTTGAGAATGTTGTTAACTTAAATAGACAGAGACAGAAAAGCAAAATTCGATGTGGAATATTCGTTGACAAAATTTCAAAAACAGTACAAAAAAATACAGGAAATACCCCCAAAAAGGAGGTAAAGTTGTCAAAATTTTACAGTGTTATGCAGAGAGTGGCGTGGGGTGTTATTAGCTGGTGCTGCTGTTTCTGTTGCTGCCTCCCCCAATTCGTCGTCTTCCCTTCTCCCCACGATTCGTGAATATCCACCAACAATAATAATAACAACAGCAGTGTGAAACCACAATTTAGGTGAGTCTTCCTCTTTTTCCGGCCTCCCTTCGCCCCCTACCACCACCCATTCAATATTTTCCTTCGCCACGTACCAACAAAAACTGTGTAATTGTAACGGTTCTCCCGCTCTCTCTTCCCTTTCCCCCTTTCTTTTTTTGTAATGCCACGGAAATAGTCCAGAAATTTTTACCCAAAAACTTGATTACGCAGTACACAGTACATCCCGGTGATATTTTTCGATTTCTATGGGTTTTTAGTAGCAAAATGCGTTGGTTGCTTTTATTTATACTCAACACATTCACAAAAATACCGAGAGAGAGAGAGCGCTCTAGAGCGAGATGCACATAGAAAAGCCGCCAAAGCACAAGTGTATACTGGTTAGAGCGAAAGAGAGAGTAGATTTCGAGAGAGCCAGCGCATGCGCTTGGAAAAGTGGGTGGGAAGATGGGTGGGGGGGCGGTGGTGCAGGTGAATGCTGTTGCCGTTGTAATATAAATGTGTGTTTGTGTGTTCTGGTTTTGTTGTGGTATGCGAGCGCGGCAAAATCTTCCTACACCGCGCTTCCCATTCCAATCTAAATAACTTGGCTTAAAAGAAACATACTATTGACGTTGCTTTTTATTTTTAAACCGCCTTTTGTTGTCATTCTTGGTGACGTCATTTGAAAAACTCGTTTGTTTGCCCATTGTTTTTGATGACCAGCGGGAGCCTAGCCCAGATCTCTAGGTCTCAATTTCCAACTGGAAGGTTGCTTTCTACCGCATTTTATGTTTACTTTTTAATATGCATATGAACAAATGTATGTATGAACAGTTCGGAAGCAGATAAGCCCAAGTATATGTATGTGTGGCTATAGATATGAGCATGCTAGAGTGTTTTTTTTCTCTGATATGGTTTTGTTGACTTCACGTGGATGTTGTAGTTGTAGTAGCAGTAGTTCTGTGTCAACTCCAAGAATCTTGAATGGGGGAAAGAGATGGAGGCAGTAAATTGCATATTACCGCTATATTTAGCAATGATCTTCGATTCAAAATAGAAGGGAGTGAGTGTGTGTGAGAGTGAGAAGAAGATATATGTAGAGTGGTGGCGACTGAAAAACCAAATCAGTTCACGCGATCAACACCAGAGGGCGCCATGGTAGTGGTAAACAAATTAAACGGCTGATTGGATTTACGAGTTAAGCCGACCAATAATATCGAATATGTAAAGTAAGGCGTTTTGAAAGTCTGGAAAAATTCAAAAGGCAGAAACTAAATATTCCACTTTTTATAAAGGAAAAGTCATTGATCTTGCTAAGTATTAAATAATAACACATGATAAATGATAAGGAGCATTCCAAACCAACATTCAATATATCCTACAGCCCTAGAAATTTTATAGATCTTTCTATACAACACAGAATCATTACATTTCTTTGACAAAAGCCTGTATCTGGATATGCGTACGTTTTAAGCACCGTATCCAAGTTGCTTACCCCAGTTCATACAGTCCTTGAGATACACATTTTTCGATAACAATTTACACGAACAAAAGACGCCTAGAGAACCAAGAATACTAATCCGTTTTCCTTCACCTCCTTAATGGCATGACTTGCCCTATATCCTGATATCTTCAGCTATTTTCGTTTCCGTTTGACGAGGCCCGCCCAATGCCATGCGATATACCCCTACACCTTTATCCATACTAGGTGTACACCTTTGGCGCTCCGATAGGAATCTAAGTTTGGATATTGCCTGGGTGAAACTCTTTAGCCGACATGCAAATGTGCCATAAAAAGCACTCGCCTTCTTGACTTTTAAACTTTAAAGTCAGGAAGAGGAAATGCATAAAGCACAGTCAGGGGACGCTAAGGGGTTAAAAGGGATTAACTGGAGTCCCACCTCAGGTCCGAAATTCTGCAAAGGCACGCCAACCGTTGCTTAGTTGTACATGGAAAAGGTTACGAATTTGCATAAAATCGAATATTTACATGTGTTCTTCAGCATACCTTCATATATGGTTGTAAGTACGAGTGTAGAAACGTGTGTGCGTAACACTTTTGATGATGGTTCAACGTCGTAAACTCTCTAAGGGCCCCAGACCAATAAAATACATTTTGTGCTATGTGGGCAAATGAGGGAACGCCTCTAGAATGTGCAATTTATTAAAGGTGTAAGGTATTTATTAGCGGGTATTTAGGATTAGACTTGTAAGATGAAGAATTTGGTTCATCCTGATTGACATCAAGATTGCTTGAGATCATCCATTTCCATACATACGGAAATACATATCTATAAATATGAATAACGAAATACTTTGGTATAGCCCTGGATAAACTTCAATTTAAATGTGATATCCTAGGACCAACTTTCAGTGCAATAAACTCGATGGAAATTATGTCATGTACACCCTTTTGTTGTCCATAAATATCCATAGGGACGTGACTTTCTTACATTTCGTAAGAGTGTTACCCATTCGAGTTTCCTCCTCGGCTCACACTTTTCCATTGTTTATTGGACTGCGGATGCCAGCCCAACTGACGACTTGATAGAATGAGTGCCTGACTGATGGCTATATGCATATTGATATGGAAGCCATCACCTACATTTGGCTACGGCAGAAAATGTGGAGCAAATAAGGCGGGGAATTGTGCTTAGGGGAAAAAAAGGAAGGAGCAGGCTGGCAGACACTCATAAAGTTGGTAAAAGTGACAAAAAGAACACATGTTTCCACTTAATAGATATATGTATTTCTTGGTACGGACGAAATGAATACATGTATGTAGAACACCCTTTGCGGAAAACATCATTTACTGCCATCCAATTAAGGCAAAGTCAGGTTTCGTGTGCAAGTCGGTGTGGGCGCTTTTGTTGCCAACAAACGGAGAGAAATAATCATTAAAATGATACAATATTGTGAAGGGGCTTGGGCTTTGAGATGCCCTGGAACACATTCTAAATTCTGCTAATATCAGAATCTTCAAATTGAAATTGTACCCATATAAAAATATAATTATAATACCTTACCCCAGCGAAACCTTGGTATTCGAGCTTGATACCTTGAATTGAATAAAATGTGGGTCTTCCATCTAAACTGTTACCCCAAAAAAGATTTAAAAACTTCAGATGCCCCTTCGATTCAATGTATACTCATATATCTCTGATCTAAAGGAAAACTTTTCGTATGTTAATAAAATCAAATTTCTAAAACACCCCTGATTTTAAAGAGTAATAGGTATGCTAATAACTAACAGTACAAATTAAATTGGTTAATAATGCGGAAGCTCTAAACCCAATATGTGTGGGCTAGACAGAAGTGATTTAAACGCTCGACGAGAGTCTTACCGCTGCCCAACGATATCAAAGCCATAATAAATTTATCGTTTTTAATGTTTTTGCAGTCGCCAAACAGTCGTCGTCGTCTCCGTGCTCCCGTGCTTCCGTGGCCTGATAGTCTGTCATGATGTTGGACGATGACATCTCGGATCTGCTGGTCTGTGCATCGGAGATGCAAGAAGGTGGGAGCTCAACGAACTTTTAACAGCTCGACATTGAGTGATGTGGATTATTCTTTTTTGTTTGCAGACCGCTTGTACTTTGTGGCCTTCAAGAAGAACATCAAGCCAAAGAACACGATTAATACCCACTACTTCAGCATTGATGAGGAGTTCATCTACGAGAATTTCTACAACGACTTTGGTCCCCTGAACATATGCATGCTGTACAGATATTGCATGAAGCTAAACACCAAGTTGACCGCCAAGTGCCATGCCAACAAAAAGATTGTTCACTACACCTCCATGAATCCGGCCAAGCGACTCAATGCGGCCTACCTGATTGGTTCGTATGCAGTAAGTGCTCCTGGATGTGGAAATTTTATTGATATTACTTTTGAAATGGTTAATCAGTTACAGTCAAATATGTACCTACATTATTCTTGCTAAAGAATTCGCGGTTTTGTTTACTTTATCGTTTTAGCACGGCCTTTATATCTCATTAAGTATTCGATTTTCTTTAAATTTTTTAAAGTCTGTATTTGACATTGTAAGAAATCTATCTTTATAATTATCGAATCCACTCTCAATCTATCTAATAACAGAAACAGATCTCTGTAATGGTTAACTCTTTCAATTGCTCACAAACTTAGCGAAAAAACATTTAAACTAATCGATTTTTTTTAACATTTTCAGATAATCTACCTAAACAAGACGCCTCAGGAGGCGTATAGGCCGCTGGTTGCTGGCGAGATTCCCGCCTACACGCGCTTTTGTGACGCCAGCTACGGACCCAGCAGTTTCAAGATATCACTGCTGGATTGCCTGAATGCTGTGCACAAAGGATTGCAGGCGGGATTCTTCAATTTCAACGACTTCGATGCCGAGGAGTACGAGTATTTTGAGCGCGTGGAGAATGGCGACTTCAACTGGATTGTGCCGCAGAAGTTCATAGCGTTTTGTGGACCTCATCAGAAGAGCAAGACCCTGCCGAACGGATATCCGTGCCATGCACCCGAGCGTTACTTTAGCTATTTTCGGGATAATAATGTCACGACGGTGATTCGGCTAAACGCCAAGGTCTATCACGCATCTTCTTTTGAGAACGCTGGCTTCGATCACAAGGATCTGTTCTTTATCGATGGCAGTACGCCGAGCGACGCTATCATGAAGAAGTTCCTCTCAATCTGCGAGACGACGAAGGGAGCGATTGCTGTTCATTGCAAGGCGGGTCTAGGACGCACGGGCAGCCTGATCGGAGCGTATATAATGAAGCACTATGGGTTCACTGCCCTGGAGGCCATTGCCTGGTTGAGGCTCTGCCGGCCGGGATCGGTCATTGGACATCAGCAGCAGTGGATGGAAGAGTAAGTATTAGTTTAATTGAGATGGATTTATTTAACTAACTCTCCTTTCCTTATGGCCTATTGCTTAGCAAACAAAGCTGGCTGTGGGCGGAGGGCGAACGAATGCGCCGGCGCACTTCGCTGCCCATCCTCCAGCACACGTACGGAATCAACAGCCTGGAGCTGAAGACCAAATTGGCCTCAGCTGCCTCCGATTCCGCGGAGCATGTGGATCTGCTTCTAACCCGCGTGAAAGGCATTTCCCAACGTGTCGATACGATGCACTTGAACGACCAGGACAACCTGGACGCTGCCTGTGTGGATCAAACAGAGGAGGAGATCTCGGAGCAGCGGCGATTGGAGCGAGACGAGCGAGCCCTCTACCAATCCGCTGAGGATCCCAATTGCAATGGTAGCGATGACAACGATACGGACACGATTAGTGCACCAGCGGATCAGCCGCTGTCCTCAGGTTATACCATATCCACACGGCGTAGGAAATCCCCGTCGGGTGCCAATAAGCCGACGGTTATAGCCACATCCCTGAGGCGTCTGGTCAATCCCAACGCAAATCGTAGTGGGTTGAGTACTGCCACAGGAGTTTATCCTGCTCCTGAGGTGGCCAGCTGCACGGAGAAGAAGTTGCGCAAGCCAAGTGCAAATGTCTTCGAGGCAGCCCGTCACACCATCGCTTCCACTGTCAGGATGACTCAGACGGCGCTGGAGAAAAAGCAGGCGCAGACTCAGGGCGACAAACTGAACCAGATCAAGGCGCTGAGGAGGCACCACTCGCGATCCGTCAACGTCAACAGCAACAGGTGGGTGTGGCTTAAAAATAAGCAAGGATTGATTTCATTAAACATATTTTGTGTTTGGTAAACATTTTACAACTGGCTAGTTTTGATATTTGTTTAAGAAAGTATAGTAAAGTTTATGAACGTTAAATTATTTGATTAACAGTCGGTTTAAGATTTATATATTATTTAAACAGAAAAATAATTTTTTCCCCAAATGTCTTCTAAGTACTAACTAGACATTTTTTTATTTATGCCAACAGCGAACAGGAAGCGAACTTGAGGCATACGAGGGCTCGATCCCAGCCCTTCCGGAATAACAGCAATGGAGTGGTGGTTGGGAATCCAGCGATGGCTGCCTTAAAGGCGGGACAACCTACTTCCTCATGTTTGCCAACCAGCACCGCGGCAGCTACTCTGTTGGCCAATAATCTGAATAACAACAACAATAGCAGCAGCAGCAGCAATAACAACAACAACAACAGTAATCTAAGCAACTCCCTGAATAACTATAACAACAACAACAATACCACTAACAATATTTTGGCCAGTTCGGGGAGCAGTCGCACCCGCAGCCTGGCGATCTATAGCAAAAGGTAAGTACAGGATAATGCCCCCGAATCCCAGAATAACCTTGAACTCGAAAACTCCACGAAAAATATTATCGTTATGTGTTGGATTTGTATTGGATTTGATTTGATTTCGTTCCGTGTGCGGCTCTGCTTTTTAGCAATTTGTTTTACCTCTTTTGTTCCTTCGATGCCTTCCAAACCACTTTCCTTTTTCTTTACACCATCCCCTTATCAGTTGTAAATATTTTATGTATTTAAAGTATATATCCCGTCGAACTTTTTTACTTCATGCTAAAATGATACAAATTATAAATTTTAATACACAAACCTTCTTTGATCTTGATTTTTAAAATATTTCTTAGAAGGGACGGATAACACATTTTGAAGTGAGATTTTTAATTTTATAATTAATCGAAAACATTTTGTTCTTTAAAACATAGTAAACTACAAATATTAAGGAAATAATTTAAATTGAAGTACTCTGGGAACGATTTTATTAATTAATTTTATTTAAATTAAACAATCTTTTCTATATTGATTTTCCAGTCTTAAAAGTTCGACTGCACTTAATATTCTTAATTATTTTAGTGTCCTCCTAATGTTATGCACCAAGTTAACCCGAATGTCGGTTTTGTACACCACTCCCCACTAACAATCAAATATCTTACTTTAGACGCTAATCTTAGTTTATAAAGTATTTCTTGTACTTATTTAGCATTTTGCATTTCTGTTTATGGGCATGCCAAAATTATAAAACATATTTATTGTTGCGAAAAAAAATTTTATTAATAAACAACAAATTATCAAAATTATGCCGAAAGCTTGCGAACTTTGTTTGGCCGTGTTTTGGTTGCTTTTATTTGTTGTGTTTGTATTTGTATTTCTTAGGATTACTGAGTATGTTTTCAATATTTAGTGTACACATATATCTTTGCAGAGTTCTTAAGATTTTTTACTTGATTGAAAGACTAAAAAAAATTGTTAAGGTTAAAAATTTGTCTATTTTGGCTCTGCAAAGGTATACAAATCTTCGGCCCTCGAAGCTTCCCGCAATTCTTCTTTTAGTAAGACTCTTTGGGACTCACACTGAACCCGTAACCCCGTACACCATCTCTCTCTTTCTCTTCTCTCGTCCTTTTCCCCCTCTCTCCCTTGGCAATTCGCTCCTTGCATCTTCAGAATGGAACTGAAGCACTTGCGAAAGGCGGAACAGCAGCAGGTGCAGCAGGAGCAACCCATGCTGCCGGTGGAGAAGCAGCTCCTCCGGCCATATGCCACCATTAACGAGAGCAAGATACCGGTGGTATCCAGTGGTGGTGCCGGCAGCTCGGCCACCATTCCGCCCACCAGGGGCAGTGCGGCACGCACCTCCCATCACCACATGACGCTCCGGGGCAGATCCCGGATACGTTACCAGCGACCCAATGCCGGGGAACCGGCTCCGGTGGCTGCCCAAACCCAACCGTGCACCGTGGCCACGGCTAGGTATTACCGCGACGTATCGGCCATACCCACAATGGGTAATGTCCTGGGTGGTGGTGCTGGTGGGTCGACCTCCTCTTCTGCCCCCTTTAACATTGCCACACGCTCCGCATCCGCCACGCTCGATCTCAACTCCAATCCGCTGCCGAAAACCAAGTTAACCAGCCTCAACAATAATCCAACACCCACTCCACCTCCTTCCTCCAATCCTGCAGACACAAGCCGGCTTAGTGGGCGTGGCAGTGCCGAGTTGCAGGCGATCATCGAGCACGGCCTGGTGGCTGGGTCGGCCAAGCGGAACAAGCGCTCGCTGAGCTCTACGCGTCTGGACAAGGACAAGAGCGACGAGTACAACACGAAGCTGCTGAGGAAGACGGCGGCCGCAGCGGCGGCTGCGGCCACAGCAGCATCATCCGGAGCAACTGCAGCGCAGGCCACCAGCGGTTCCATCAATGCCACCCACGCCTCTAACAACGCCTCCACAACCGCCAGCAACATGAACAACAACTGCAAGTACAACAGCTGCAGCAGCAGCAACAGCGGCAGCTTCAAGCTCTCCCGCCGCCTTTTCGGGGAATCCGGATCCTCTGCATCGACATCCGCCTCGAATTCGGGTATCCCCACGCCCACGGCCCCGCCCTCATCCAGCCAATGGCACCAGCATCTGGCCCGCGGCGTGAGTCGGGTGTCCAGCGAAAGGGATCGGGAGCGACAACAGCAGCAGCAGTCCCTGGACCACCAGCAATCCAATCTCAAGCTGCGCAAGAAGATCAGCTACTGAGCAGTTGTCCTTCCTCCCTATGGTTATGTAGTTATTATTTTGATTAGTAAATTGAACGTTTTCCCCGCAGACCCACAATTTCGTGCGGTAGTGGCAAATGCAATGATTTGTTAGCTATTCCGATGCAATCAAATTTGATGATTGACTAGAAAACATTTAACTTATTGTTAAGGACTATCTCATTTATACCCTTACATTTTTGTAGGCAACATTTTCAAATTGTTATGAATGGTTTTCAAATTTATTGTATTAAATTGGTCTAAAGTGCGTACAAACGAGAAAAACAATACTAGTTATGTGGAAGGTTTTGAAAATAAACCACTTTTTGATTAATTAGACAATGGGATTGTTACAGTACTGATAAGAATTTATATTATTGAAATTTTTAAATATTACCCTGTTTACAGGAAGATCATGATTTATTTCGATCACTTAAAATTATTTGCCACAGTAACGCTGATAAAATGCGAACAATTATATAAAAATTGGTACCCCGTTTACAAAAGCACTGTATTTATTTTACATAGGAAAAAATATTTTATAAAATAAAACACGCTGATCAACTCATGATATCAATTTATAATTGATACAGCTGTAATAGGCATTTATTTATTAGGGATACAATTACTTCATAGTCCGGGCATACAGTAATGGCAAATATTGTGAAAAAATTAATTTTACATATGTTCCATTTTAAAAACCAGTTAATTTGGGTTCTTGCTAACCTTATTTTCTGTTGACTACTCTTAGGACCAAATAAATCGAATAAATTCATCAAATTTGATTAGCATTGGTATTAAAAGTCAGCGCAGCGTCGACTCCTGGTTTTACCATCTCTAAATTACGGGGAAGTCCCCATCTCGAAAGTATGTTTATTGGAAGTGCCATTTTAACATTTGCTACTTTATACCCCGTCTCATTTTTTTTTTTGCGACTAGCTTGAATCTGTTTTGCCTTATCATTATTGTACAAAGTTAACATAGACGTTGAGCAAAGATCTTCAATGAATCACTTTTTCATGTTTTAGCCCCACAGCATTGGTGGGAGATTGTATTAACCGAATAGAACTTAAGTAAAAAAAAACAATTATGTGCATTATCTGAACTTGTTTAGAGTGTAAATACGAGACAGTTTACTTATTTGTAAGCCGACCTAGTTAAAAATAAATGTTATATATACCACAAAAATATATTGGAAATTATAAGTATTAGATCAACATCACTCCGAAATATTCTATTATCTCCTCGAAGATCTTACTTTCAAGAGCTACAAAGACCACATCAAAGTCGCAATTCAACTGGATACACAACAGGGGTTCCATCGATGATGACTCCACGGTACTGATTGAGGGTGTGATCTTCAAGGCGCTCATCACGCTTAAAGCCTTATCCTTGGAACTGGCGTACTCATCTGAACGGATGACCTCAAAGGCAGCCTTCTTAAGGGCGGGATAGAAGTTCTTGAAGTAGTTGTGGCGATCACAGAGGCGCAGGCCCGTATTGTCAACGCTCCCGGCATCTGTGAGCTCCCTATAGGTGTTGAATTTCTTCCTGCGCTCCATCTCCAAATCCTCCAGAGTCTCGTCAACATCGAGAGCCTCCGTTGGCTTGGTGCTCACAACCTGCATTTTTTCCGGACGCATATTATCCGCCTCGTTGGAGATCACGGCCAGCATTTCGATGGCCGCTCGCTGGCGGGCATCCTTCTTTTTATCCGACTTTCCATACCGAACTATGGACGCCACAGTGCAGCAAGCCACGAACTCTGGGGCATTGGGTGTGCCGCTCTGCTGCACGATCTCGATGGTGGGCAGTGGCATCTCGTGGCGGACGCAGTAGTCACGCAGCTCCTTCAGCATGTCCCGATTGAGGTTGGTCAGCTCCTCACACAGGTCCCCCACCGATTTGGTTTCGCACTCGTCCAGCAGGTTGCCCACGCCGGGAAGCTTCCGGATCTTTCGCAGAATATTGGCAGCAGCCAGGTGCTTGGCATCCCGCTTGGAGCGACCTATGATTGGACAAACACTTATTAGTTATAGTACCGGGATATCTGGTGAAATTACCATTTCCATAGGCCTCGATCTCCATCAGAACCACTTTACAAACGTATCCTCCGTCCTCGCCGTCTATGAAATCATACGTTGGTGGAATATTCTTCGACTTGGCGCAGAATTCCTGTAGGGCGGACACGGCAGATTTGTTATCCATGGATTTTAGGAAAAGTACACGTCTTCTTAACGACTATTTCACGGAATATATATATATCAGAAGAAATAAATAAAGTACTGCAGTTTCTAATAGGGATGGAACTATGATCACGAGTAACAAATTTGCAAACGAATATTTTATTTCACTAAAACTTATGTGAGGATACAATATGATATATTTTAATCCAGGTACTAGTCTAAATGTCAGAAGTTTGAGGTCAGACCTTGAAGAATACCAAATACCAATGGTTGGGGCGTACTTGAACGCTTCGGCGTATATCGATTGGTTAAATATCGATATTAATGATCCAAGAAAAATGTAACAAGGACAAACTAGATAAATAAGAAATAATCATAAAATCTTATGTTACTTCAAGAGAATTGTTTAAATTTGATGTGCCGCTGGATAGGTTTATGCCGATCCAATTTTTTTTTTTAGGAAAAAGACTGAATTTATTACTGAAAAATGATAATTATTCTAAATATATTGCTTGTACATGATTCTTACATTTCCAGCGCATTCTTCGCATCATTTTAAAAATTTGTATGTACTTGAAAGAAAACCTCCTAACTAGTGAAAATCCAATGACACCAGATAAATAGTTTTTAGATTTTTGAAATCCTTAACGTCTGAATTATTTTGCACAATCGAACACGTCACGTTGACACGAGTTGGCATCCCCGAAAGTCAAGGCAACCCTGTTGCTGAATGTATGGCATTAACAAGTGTTGCTGCCAGCGATGAGCAAAAGTCACTGCATCGAGTCAATACTTAGGGTTTACGTTTGGAGGAAATAAAATATAAAAAACGAACATAAGTGAGTATCTCAAGTGGCTAAGTAAAGATTGAAAAATGTTTTAACCTTGGCCATTATATGCGACATCATACTTGCTGTTGAAACCTTCTTTTCACCCTGCATGTCCAAACTGCGACTTAAAAATACCTGCTACCCACGGCAGCCCCGTGACCAGCGCTCATCTCTGGCTACAGGTCAGAATCAAATGGAGACGAGTTTTTTGATCAACTGCGGAACGTTTACTGCGTTTCATAATCAATAATTCTCCGCTGGCAGCAAAACAGGACAGAACAGCTGGCGAACCAAGCGACAGCAGAGCAAATAAATCAAATCTAATGTCAAATTCGGTATTAACTACACACTGAAAATCCCAGAGAGCGGAGTAGGAAGTGGCAGTGAAGCACAGTGGCTGCGAAAAAAGTGTGCCTGGCAGCACGGCGAAAACACCAAAGATCTCGGTTTCGTGTGCACTAATTAGCGATAGAAAGCTCTCCGATTCGCGGGGCCAACGAGATGGAGGAGACCGCCGCCGCCTCCCCAGCCGCCGCCACAGCCGCGGGCTGCGATGCCGCTGCCCGTGAGAAGGCCCCGGAAACCGGAGCATCCCCCTCCGGAACCAGTGTCCGATTGCTCATCAAGTCGTCCAACCAGCAGTACGAGGATCTCAATGTGGACTCCGATCTCAGCTGGACGGTCCAGCGGCTGAAGAAGCAGCTGTCCATGGTCTATCCTGGCAAACCGGTGGGTTCTCGAGCTCTTGTCTTTCCTACCTGGGAGCCCACTCCCTTATCTTATCACAAAGTTTGTTATTGTTTATCATCTTCGCTTAGCATACATATGCCCGTATTTAGGTGCCCAAAGCTATTTGCGTCTTAGTCGCAAGTACACGTCAGTAGATTGCCTCTCTAAATTTTAGCACTCGTCATGCACTTGCGTCATGCACTTGGCCCAAGGTAAATCGATGGCTTGGAACAGGGATTACAATGGTTACGGTTGGGATCTGATAACGTTTTTGGATACGATATCTTATAGGGAATATAAAAAATACCTTATGGTCGTGTGACTCGTTGCTTACATCCCACATATGTTTCCTTATCACTTAATTATATTAACTAAAAAACAGGAAGGAATATTTACATAGTGTACTCTTGCTGCACCGGTCCATAAAATACTTTTTATCATCTAAGAACAGACATCAGTGCAATTTATGCAAACTAACCCAAGTAACTTTAAAATTGCCCTAGATTTTTTCGTTCTTTCCAAAAGACTAATAATTTCAGCCCCCAGAATATTCCAAATTCATATTTCCATACACTTTGGCTGACGAGAACAAACCATTGTTATCTCTTATGGGAAGCAAGTGAACTGATAACTTTAAGCACTGCGGAATAATATAATATATGTATTTGTATATTTGAACAATTCGGAAACCACATTTATACTATTACTGAATCTGTTAACAAATTTTTAACGCTATTTCATCTTTATATCCCTCTAGGAAATCCAAGATCAGAAGCTGATTTACTCTGGCAAGCTTTTAGATGACTCCCAAAAGATATCGGAGGTGATTCGCAGCTACAAGGATGTCTACCAACAGCACCACATCTTTCATTTGGTGTGCGCCAGTAAGCAAATATTAACGCCTCCAGCCAAGACTATCACAGTGCCGCCGAAGGCTGCGGTTCCACCGCTGCAGGAGGTCAGCGGGAACGCTAACGAGCTGCGACAACGTCATCCCACACACCAGCAGTCGGCACATCAGGCAGCCACATCACCTCCCGTGGCAGGTGGCATCGGCTTGGCCAATCCCTGGGCGCATTTCTGGCAGCAAAATCAGGCGGCAGCAGCAGCCGCCAATGCCAGTGCCAATCCCCATGCGATGTTCCAGCAGCAGGCGCTGATCTACAACGCCTGGATTCAGCAGGTTTACGCCCAGTACATGCAGCAGTTGGCTCTGCGGTAAGTTGGAAGTAGGAAAATGCCGAAGAAAGACATTTGATACGGAGAAAAAAACCATTCTGAATAGAGTCATCCGATGGGAACTAATGCAAATAACATTTCGTAGAATTAAAGACATATGTTTTGGGAAGAGGGATAATATTTTGACATATTTAGTTCGTAAAAATAGATTATAACCATTAATGAGGAGTAGTATATATACAGTTACTGTTATATAAATTTTTTTTGGGTATTTGATTATTAAGGTCTTTACAAAACGAATGAGATCACAATGTTTTTATGGTTTCTAACATTTGTTTATTTATTTAACTTATTGAATATTTGAATTTTTGCTAAACAACATATACTACCACATCCCAAAAACATTTTGGTTATCAGACGTGTTCCCATTTATGTAAATATTGTTGGGACTTACGATTACAGTCAAAACACTTGTTTATTTTTAGACGCTTTTGAACATTATAATGTGCGCAATACGGCTTTGCATTTTAATGATCTCATGCAAACGAAACCCCGTGAATATTCGATTATAAATGTAAATCTTGGTATCATGTTATAAAAAAGTTATTTAAAACCCACTTATTATATACCCACAGGTCCACGTTGCCTGGCTCGAACGAATCAGTTTTGCCGCCACTGTCTCAACCCCTGATGCCCCAAGTCCCGCTGAATGCCGCACAACCCGTAGCAGGAGCAGCTGCCCCCGCAGCACAGGCGCAACCAGCCCCTCAAGTAAATGGGGCACCGCAGAACAGAAATTTCCCCAACATCCAGGAGGAACCAGAAATGCGCGACTGGCTGGATAGCTTCTTCAGCTTCACGCGTTTGGCCATTTTCGTGACTGTCCTGTACTTTAACTCCTCGCCGCTGCGTTGCTTACTGGTGTTGTTGATCGCCGGAGCGATCTATCTGTAAGTAAAAGATTTTGTGAAATTCTTAGTGATATTAGGAAGTTTTTTTTTGGCTTTGATAATTATTAATTATTATTATTTTATTTGATAGGTATCACATTGGTGTCCTCCGCCGCCGGGAACGCAACAATAACAATATCAACCGAAACAACAATGCTGGTGATGCGGCCGCCTTTGCTGCAGTGCAGCAAATTCAGCGGATGATGGACGCGGCGGTGGAACGAGATAACAACGATCCCCAGGCGGCTAATGAGCCTGGTGCAGTGCCAGCAGCTGGACCTGCTGCTGGACAGGATGCGGTCGATGCACCTGCTGCCGCCGCTCACGTAGCTCCAGCATCCGCTGCTAATCCAGATGCGGCTGACGTTTCCGCTGAAGCCGTAGCTGTGGAACCACCAAATGCCAATAACTCTGTGATTTCCGTTGTGCGCACCTTTGTCGTCACCTTCTTTACATCGCTGCTGCCTGAGGCGCCGGCGCTCTAGACGATCGATCCGTGGGATATTCAGTGGAACCCAGTGGGCCTTCCGCTAACCAGCTTTACAGCTTTACGGCTTTCCTCTTTCTAACTTCCCGTAATCAAAATGTTATTCCGTTTTAATTTTAATTTGGCTTACCCGAAAGTGTAGCAAAAACAAAATATGTTTTACTAGCTGTAATAATCATGTATATTTATTTAACGTGTGTCAGCCGAGTTACATTTCGTGGCCGCTGCTCCAGTAGTTCGTAGATTTATAGATAAATAAGAACGTAAACTGTGTTTGATGTGAATAGTATAATGATTATAATCTGCACTGAAATCTGTGCCAGAGACGAACCTATGAAACCAAGATGCAATTAAAAATAAATCGTATGCTTTAACACCAAAAACCAAATTGTGAAGTGGTGTTTACAAAGTGCAATTCTTGCTAGCAAAATAATACTTACGTTTTCTACTTTATTTGTAATTCAAGAAAAATAATTAACCACAAAACTAGAAATAATGATTCGACTGTTTTTCTAATGATTTGAATATCATTTAACTTGTTTTTATACCATTTAATAAAAATGTGTATGTTCTGAAATATTTTGTATCATTTTTTGGGCTAAAAAATGCCGACTTTCTGTTTGTGAAACAAAAATATTGTTTAATTAAATTTAGTTTGATGAATTGTATGCCTGGATTGTTAACTCAAATGCTTAGGCAAATATTGCCCATTAAAAAATATTTACCAAATTTTAATGTTGTAAAGAACGCTCAATGGTTAAAAGAAATCTCCAAAACTGTATAAGAATTGCATTGTGTAAACAGCGCTTGAGGAATTTCCCCAGGGCGGTTCTCTTAATTCTTGGACAGCTCTCTTATCAGAGTGGAAAATTTGTAGCCCAAAATCGAACAGAGATCCGGCTTCCCCACGGGTAAGT